TTCTGCATAATTTGTAATCACTCAATTAAACTATGCTTGTTCACAGAAGGAAAAAACAACAAGAAAAACAACTTAAACAGACATGATTAAAGGTTCTGTAAACGATCGTCATTGCTACTAGATGTTGCACTACAGCACCAGCATCTCACACCAAAAATAATGCTTCATCGGCCACTACTCCAGCCTCCGTTCAGCCACACCACCCCCTTCCCTTCATGTTCTCAGTATGGTGTTATGGAGCCCGGTGAAAGCCTCCACTAAACACGCAACAAGAAGCTCAACTGAATAAAGTTACACTGTGAACATGAGACACAAGAACAATCTAACCACAACCATTAGCCCACGCTAGCATAGCTGTGATATGCTCCACAGCAATGCTGACAGTTAGCTAACTCACTGTTACTGATATTATGAATGTGTTACATAAATGTTGCTATCGCTAGCAGGCTAACATTATCATGTCTACTGTAGCCATGACTAATGAAAACAGACATATAACATTATGAATCATTAAGTTACTGATACATGGAGAAAAAAAACAGTTCTGAGTCCAGCTGGACCCTGTAGCAGCTCGTAGGGTTCTCCTCTCAGTAAAACCAGACCAGTATCTGCTCCACGGTCAGACTGGGAGAGAAATTCAGCCATGGACTGATCCACTGGGACCGGCCGCAAATGACACTGATAGAGATGGTGAAGACACTGACGGAGCCGTCACAGGAATTTGAGCCTGTAGTATTCATTCCAGTCCACCCGTGCTTTGGTGTCATTTCTTTCTTTGTCTGAGACCTGATTAGATGAAAACATTTCTTCTTCAGTGGAGAAAATTCTGGAAGGTCACATTCACCTGAACGCTGTGTGTCACACTCAGTGTCACACTGAGTCATCTCACCTGTGGACAGTCCTTGTGTGTTTATAAACGTGAGGAGGACCAATAGTTTAACAGGAGGGACTCACATGCACTAACACGCACACGTGCACACGTGGGGGGGGGGGGGGGGGGGGGAATGACGACTTCGTTCTCTGCTCAAGACGCCATTACTACACTTTACATCAAAAATAGTTGTTTTCTGCTGTATTAATGTTTAAAATCTCATTGACCTTTATATCAAACAGAACTACACCAAAGCAGTTAACTTCTGTTTATTACTTGTTCTGGTTTTGTTAATCACATTTGCTGGTATATGTATGTTCATCAATACATCAGGCTTAATGGCTCCTAATGGATGAAAACAATCCTAAAACACTCCGCCACTCTTCTTATTTTCACGTCACACTGAGCTGATAAAAACCTTCACATCATCCACTTCTTGTGAGGTAAACATCATCATCATCAGTTTATTTATCTCTGCACAGCTGGTCCAGTGTCAGGAGACCATAGATCAATGCTGACTGTGTTTTTCAGCTGTTTCATGTTCTTGTTGTTTGTTTGTGACTGACTGGGCTCAGTGCAGACAAACACTGGCTCTGCTGCAGTATCACAAAAACATGACATTCAGCTCATTCACATTTATCCACATAGATTTTGTCTGTGATCACCAAGAATCCCCCTCCGACTGGCCCAGTCCCTTTATCTGGGAGTGACTCATGCTCCCACTGAGGCCTCAGTAATACTTGCTTGTAGACACTTACCCAGACAGCTGTGGACACCACTGACACTGAATTATTTTCATTTATACTCTGCTTGGCGTACGCATTACATTCAATTCAATTTTATTTTATTTGTATTGCACCAAATCATAATATACACTATCCATGTGCAGTAGATAGTTGGCATGTGCAGCAAGAATCAAATCAAAATGGCAACATCCACATAAGCAGAAGAAGACCTTTTTGTCTGCTGTGCTTTGGCTAGCTCATGTGCACATAGCACCCTTGGTACCCACATGAACATATTATATTGGACACGCATATGCACCCTACAATTACAAAATTTACATAACACAGATGCAGAAAGTATAAATGGCGAAAACAATTTTCCATTCATATTGGAAATTAAAGTTAAGTGGAGGAGACCTTTTGTTTATTATTTGTTTCTGTATCAGTCTGTTTTTTATTCGGGGTAATTCAGACCGTATTTCAGTCCTGAGGCTTTTTTCTTCAGAGGAATCCAGTTTGTTCCATTTATCAAACCTGTGACTGTAATAATGTACCTATTGATCTCTAGGTTGGGTATAAGCAGGGGACTGTGTGTGTGTGTGTGTGGTGGCGCGTGTGTGTACAATCAGCTTGGGGTTCAGATCAACGAATGTTCATTACTCTTGCCCCTTCCCCTTAGCAAACACACAAACACACTCTAGATAGCGAGCATTTATCACAGCAAACCTGCAGGGTGGTAGAGAACTACTTCATCTCTTCTGTGTGTGTGTGTGTGTGTGTGTGTGTGTGTGTGTGTGTGTGTGTGTGTGTGTATGTGCATGCATGCGCAGACAGGTGACAAATTAAAGGAAAAACCTGGCTCGAGGCTCACTAATACACTTTATGTTAGGTTTTACTTTCATTTCATTCACCACAACAGTATATACAGACTGTGAAGAGGGTTCTAGGGGTCCTTTGCAAGACTCTGGTGGTTATTCAGGGGGTTCTCAAGATGGTGTTTTAGTAGTCAGTGGGAAGGTTCTAGACACTGTAGGGGTTTAAGTTTAAGTGGTCATTGAAGAGGTTCTACAGGTGGCTTTAGGAGGTTTCATAGTCATTGAGAAGGTACTAGTCGTCCTTCAGGGGGTTATGGAGGTCCTTTAAGAGTTTCTAAAGGTCATTGAGAGGGTTCTACATGTAGTTTTTGGAAGTATTAGTGGTCGATGACAAGGCTTACAAGGTCCTTTAAAAGATTCTGTGGATGTTAGGAGGTTGTTGTGGCCTTTGAGGAGGTTCTACAGGTCCTCTAGGAAATTTTTTTCCAGGCGTCTTTTGGAGGTTTTAGTGGTCCTTTAAAAGTTTCTAATAGTCCTTTGGGGGTTTCTAGTGGGCCTTGAGGAGGTTCTGGTGGTCAGTGACAAGGTTCTACAGGTCCTTTAGGGACATTTAGGGATCGCTGAGGTCATTGAGAAGGTTCTAGTAGTCATTTAAGATGTTTTAAGGCTAATTAGTTTTTGAAAATTAACAATCAATGAGAAGGTTGTAGAGGTCCTTTAGAAGGTCCGGGGAGTCTTTTAGTGGTCCTTTTCAGAGGGTTTCCTGTGGGTCTTGAGGAGGTTGTAGGTGTCTTTTGGAAGTTGCAGTGGCTCTTTGAGGTCTTACTGATCCTTAGTGGTTTCTAGTGGTCCTTTATGAGGTCTTAGTGGTGCTTCAGGGAGTTTCCAGTGACCCTTTTAGGGCTCCTCTGGGGGATTTTGTGGTGATGTGTTAGACAGCATTCAGCATTCACAGAATGAATGCTGAATGCCTGTCCTAACCTGTCCTTCACCTACAGTGGTCCACACTAACCTGTCCTTCACCTCAACCCTACACTGTCCACATGCTGTTATTTATCACTCTTCCCTCTCAACATCAACTCAAGTGTAACTACTTGTTTCACTGTAGTAAAACATTCCTGCTCTCTGTCCTTCACGCCTCCATGAATCTCACAGTTTAGAGCTGTGTCACAAACAGTGAAATCACAGAGCTGCAGTGGAGAAAGCTGTCCAAACATGAGCTATGTGACAACACAGGACAGAGACAATGGTAGAGGAGTACAGTGGTAAAATTGAGCTGTGAGTGAAAGTCGAAAGTCTGATGAGTTAGATGTGTTTCGAAATGTAGGTGACTGTGACACAATAATGTCCTTTCTCTTTTACTTGAGAGTGGAGGGCGAAATAGAAACGATGAAAATGTAGTGTAGTTTTAAAAATTCAAAAATGCAGATCAGAGCCCTTGTTGTTGATGTTTTTCAGTGGGTAACTCATTACAAAAATTACTATTAAACCAAAATGAAGAAATAGCTTAATCTCATAATAATAATTACTAACAGGCTATATACATTTAAAGCTCCATATTTCCCTCTTCTGCTGTGTTTTATTTGAAGTGAAGTGTAGTCAGTGTAGTTTCACATCTCCTCTCTCAGGCTTCTCTAGGGCTCTAGGGACAACAGGTCAGTGAGCCAATCAGAAGAGAGGAGGCTTTGAGCCTCTCTTGCCTGATTTTTGCCATATAAAAATAGAGCAGATTTCAAGTAAACACTCAGAGAAACCAAATTCTGCAAGGTTGGAAGGGTAGGTCCAGGTGGGCGGAGACATGGCTGAGAGCGGTGACTGCTTTGTTGTGACATCACAAAGTTCCAGAAGTCCTGACGGCTGGTTTTAAGGCTCAGTTTCTGAATACAGGCTGTGTGCATTTCTCTGTGGACTGAGGCTTTGATACTTTCACAGTATTAATATAGAACCTAGACCTGCTTTATAATCAAACAACACATGGACATCTACCTTTAGACTATATGGGAGCTTAGACAGTGACCATCCACTTGTATCAGTCCTATAACCCTGTAGAGATAATGCCTGTGACTATCAGACACTGGTGTTAACACAATGTCCACAATGACGTGAGCTGCCAGCTGACTGAAGAGAGAGTTTCATCAATATTCATCTCACCAGAATGAATAAAACACACTTTAACAGAAAGATGCCCCCTCGGGTTACACTGTTACATAATCACCGATCTGTGAGCTTCCATGGATTCCAGGATTTGTGTGTGTGTGTGTGTGTGTGTGTGTGTGTGTGTGTGTGTGTGCGCGCGCACGGAGGGGGTCTTGTTTCACTGTATTTGCAGGGTCTGAAAACCAGGAGCCCTCTGCATTTGTTGGGTCTGACAACTTTGTGACTTTGTTTGAGGTTCAGACCTGGTTTGAGTGTTAAAATGAGGCTGACATCAGCTGATGATCCAGCTGCTGGAGGTGTACCCCACTATCTGACATAACAACCAGTTTTTTGAAGGTTATTTTAGTGATGATATGTTGATGATAAACATGCTTTGTTCCTGTGGCGACCAGCTGTTAGAAAGTGACGTTGCGTTTTCCTTTTTCTCTCCAGTCATTTAGAGGAGGTGGTGTTTGCCTGTGGCTGTGAGATCCGCTGGCTGCAGCTATGGCAACAGAGAGGAGAGGCGGGTCTAAGCAGTCAACAGTTATACTGTGCTGATGGCTACAGGAAGATCCTGCTGCATGATATGAACATCAGTAGTTGTGGTAAGTCCTGGGTGAAAATAAGCGCACACACACACACACATACACATATATACACCTGATATGCACAGTTTGAACTCTGACCTCTGATACAGTTAATTGTTTTCTATCAATCCTATCGTATTCATCTGTAATCACACTTTCTGACCCGACTCTGTCTTAGTTCTCAGCTCTGACCCCATTGGTTCCTACTGAAGGAATAAATCTTTAAAACACCTCACAGATTTCTAGATTGAGCTTTAAAAATACTCATTCATTTACTAAATCAGCTGCTGACTGTGGATTTCATCAGATGTTACTCACACAGGAGAACATAGTACATTTGTTGGGGACTATTTTCTACAGCAGAGTAATTACACAATTGTATATGTGGGATTGAGTAAAAAATAAACTACACTGTGCGTTCATGGTAATGAAGGAATGTGTTTTTAATAGTATTTGGACGGGATGGAGGTTTATTGGTCAGAGCAATCAGATATATTCAGTTTTTAATACACACACAGAACTTTAACAGTATTTAAATCATGTGGGGACACTCATCCTTTAAAAGCTAAACTGACAAGACATGGTCAGGTAAAAATCACATTCAGTCATGTCAGCTGTAGACCACACCGACTTGACCGAATGTGATTTTTAATGAAACAATTCTTGATTGTTGAATCAGAATGTGAAGTCTTCCTTTGACTCCCTCTGATTCAAATTTAAATGAACATTATTGGCATCAATAACAACAGTTGCCAAATCTTAAACATGTTGCTAATTAAGTTTTAAAAATGACGAATCAATAGTGTATTCGATGCACCCGTACAGTCTAGTACATGTACAATAGATTGAGGAAGTTCAATATCCTTTCATTTTGGAACGTGACAAGGCCAGGTCCAGGAATAAATTATTTTCCGAGTTTGCTGTTGTAGAACTGGACTGAACTGATATTTTTTTTATTTTTCATTCAATTTGTGAATCCAGTTTTTTATTTCTCTTTTCAAACTTCATTTTCCAATTGATTTTTAAATTCCATTATTAGTTTATGAGTTGATTAAGGTATTTTAAATGATGTACTTGACTGTTTAATGTTGTTTTTGCTTTCTGTGGAAACACTGCTGGTGTTTGCAAGTTCAAAACTGTTACATCTCATTGTACAATTACATTTCCTCTTTGTGTCCTCTCTGTCTCAGACTTGCCTGAAATCAGTGTCAGCCACAGCAACCTCACAGTGATAGAGGGAGATCGAGTGATGGCGACCTGCAACGGCTCTGGATCCCCCTTACCTGAGGTGGACTGGCCCGTCAACGGCTTACACTCCATCAACGCGCAAGAGGTAGGCAGGACACACACACACACACACACACACACACACACACACACACACACACACACACACACACACACAGTATATCAAGGAAAAGACAACAGCTCTACTTGGGAGTGTTGATGTTGCTTGCCTCATAAATAGTCAGAGTGTGTGTGAGTGTGTGTTCCCTACCTCTTGTGTGTTGGTGTCAGTCACTGACATGATTTCAGCAGAAGCAAACCACTGACCTGCAGCTTCATTTTTCCTCACAGTGAAAGTGTTGAAGTCTTGTTTTATTAATTAGCTGTAGTTAGTGATACAAGATCATGGAAGTCAACATGTCCAGTAAATGGATTGTGTGATTAAGAACTGGCTGATATTCATAAAGCATTAACACTTGGGTTATGTTCATGAATTTCTCCCAAGCAGTCAGAATCCTGGTTGTAACTGGAGATAGTGGGAATTTATTCAACAGGATCAACAAACTGTTCACTGGAAGTTACATCTACATCAAATCCACAATTAACATTAAAAGTCAAAACACACCCCAGCTGAACAGCACATGTTAAAACAGCTGCTCATGTTATTTTCTCTGTGCCACCACCACACACCGTCTCCTTTTGTGTCTACATGGATGAGAGGCCACTTGTTACAAAGAGCTATCTGACCCACAGCCACACTATCACAATAACTGGTGAGCTGTACCTGTTTCATCCAAGTTTAAGTGACGATTGTTTTACATGTTAACACTGCAAAAGAAGGCTAACAGCAGGCTAACTATGTGTAAATAACATCAGGTTTGACATTGTGTAAAACCATGCTAAAAGACATTGTTACCTTTGCTAAATAACTATGCTAGCTAGTTAGCTAGCACATAAAAAAGATGCAACACTGCAAAAGTAGCTCATCGCAGTGATTTAAATGATGTGAGGCTAACAGCAGGATAAAAGTGGGATCACAGCAGGCTAACCATGTGTAAATAACATCACGTTTCAAGTTGTGTAAATACAACAGAATGCTAACAGACATAATTAACTTTGCTAACTATGCTAGCTAGTTAGCTAGCTAACATGTACACTACCTCCTTTGCCTGCTCCCACGCTACACTGCCTTACATGTTCATTATTTGCTCATGCCCATTATTATATGATATTATTATCATATAATACATTATATATATGTTCTAGTATTATTTCTTTTACTATTGTTTCCTGCTCTCCCTCCAGGCAAAAGTCTACGACAACAACACCATTCATTCCATCAACATCACTCTGGTCAATGTGAGTAGAGACGACAACAACTTCCTGCTAACCTGCACCGCTACCAACATAGTGGGCATGACCAATGCTTCCGTCCAGCTCACTGTTCACTGTAAGTACAGTCACACACATACAGTAAACTCATTCACACACACACACACACACACACACACACACACACACACACACATACACCATGTTCTTCTATTGGCTGGCTGTTTCATTTTCCATTTAATGGTCACTCAAAAAAATACTTACTGGTGTTTTCACAGGTCCATCCATCATCATTACATCCCCTACATATCTGACCTGCATAGAGAGAGAGGCAGAGAGAGAGAGAGTGTGTGTGTGTGTGTGTGTGTGTGTGTGTGGGTGGGTGGGTGGGTGGGTGGTGGAGGTGGTGGGGTGGGGAGGATGCATACGCTGGTGTGATTATTTACTAAAACACCCACATGTATGTTACAGCTCAGCTATGCAGATGGGGTCAGGTGGGTTCAGGTCAGATTTGTACAAGAAACTATTACAGGTTCAGGTGTGTTGGGTCAAAAAGTGACAAAGCTACATTAGTCGCAAGCTAAGTTATCAATAACTTACAGAAATAACGTACTACTTCGCCTTCTCTTCCTCTCTCTCCTCTTATTCTTTAGTCATCAATAATCTGCATTACTGAACTATAATGGTACATGTAAGTGTGGTCATTATCTGCTTGTTATATATCAGATGTGCTGACTCAGACCTTTATGCAGCTGTGAATGCTTCTCTGCATCAATAGTCACAGTCAATCACTGTGGTAGATGTGCTTTATGTAAATACACGTGTTCCACAGCTGCCTAAAATGGTTGTTCCTGAGTCATGTTTAAGTGGGTAAGTTGGCAATTAGCACACTGAGACAATATTGATTAAACGTTTGTATTTCAATGTTGAAAACATGACACAAATGTAATGATATAACAAATATAAAAGCAACCTTTCTGACTGTAATTCAATGTTGAAATATTGTTAAATCCACAGCCAGAGAACAGTGTCGTTACATATAGTCACTGTGTTTAGCTTCATTAAATCGCCTGAAAACACCTCCAGGCTGTGGTGTAACCACACAGACTCTACACACAGAAGACTAGTCAGTTCTAACTAGATAATCTTCAATATGAAAGAGCAGTCTGGTCACCAGGCTCATCACAGGCTCTTATCCTGCTTTCTTTTTAGCAAAAGTAATGTCTCATGTTTTATCCTTTAAACGTGCTGTTGTCTTACATTAACTTTTAAACTGTGTGACCGTGTACCAGGTTAGATACATTAAAATTATTACTGAAACAGCGTCTCACTGATATAATCATATAAATCATTATTATCATTATAAAGACGTTTGGTAAATAATTATACGAGCCTATGTACATGCGTCTACTCCTCCCTGTTCCCTTTCACCCCCTTTTAGTGTGTGTGTGTGTGTTTTTGTTTGTCTGCATGTGGGTCTGCCACAGTGTGATGTGTTTATATTCATGTGACCTACAAAAGGGGGTGTTTGCATGAATGTGTTCATATGCAGAGGCCTCATAAATAATCGTGTCAGACAAAGATTAACAAGGCCACATCAGCATCACATTTACAGTTCATCACTACGAGAAACGTTAAGACTCATTACAGCAAATGATAACCCTCAATTCAATTCAGCTGGCTCTTTGAAACACTTTCACCATTCGATTCTATGAACAATTCTTAGATTCTAAATCCTTGTGTTTAAATGAATTATTTATATATATTTTTTTCTTTTTGGCGACCATGAGCCGTCCAAATCCAATAACCATAACACTGATTAGCTTGACTTCAGTACCTTTACTCCACCTTTATATTTGGCTATGAGAGTCATACTGCCCACTTGAAATCATACATATTAGATACAGACCAAAATTTAACACGTTAATCTGTCTCAACACTTTCTGATTCCGTCTGTGGCTCTCTGTTGCAAGCCCATCATTTCCTACTGAAGATCATAAATATATCTTATTAATATATATCTTATTTATAATATATATAAATATCATTATTAAGAAAGGCTCAGTAATCTCCTTAAACAGCTGGACACTATAACAGTTTGTTACATTCATTAGTTGAAAGGCAATAGTTTTCCATCTCTCTCTCTCCCTCTCTCTCTCTGAACGATGGTAAACAAAAATCAGGTGAACGCTTTCTGGTTACAAGTCTTCACTTTTCAGACCGCTTAGCAACACTGGATAATTATTATTATTGATGGCCATTATCAAAGGCAAACTCAGCGTAGACAGACAGGGCTGGCAGCAGCAGCGGTGTGGACACAGCTGCAGCAGTTCAGTGCGGTAGCGTCATACACACGTGACGTGATACAAGATGTCTGTCAACTCATTCCTGCTTGTTATATTATCACTAGTTGAAGTTGACTGTTCACAGTGCAGGACAAAACAACACTCAGGCCCCTGGGAAATATCCTAGCTCTCAGAATAGTAAGTGTTTTTTCTGCTTTCAGATGTGATCAGTAGAATACTTAAACTTTAAACCAAGGGTTTCATAAACATAAGAAATTAATATTTTAGCACAGGTTATTTGTCTTCCACGAAACATACATTTAGAGCCTGTATGTTTCTGAGTAAATAATGAGACGGTTGTAAAGAATATTTCCTCTGACTTCATAGAGTTCATAGACAACAGTGTATCAGGCTGTGTATACACACACTTACTTGTTCATAGATAAACTCACTGCAGGTTTTGGTCTGTTCATGGGGTTTGCTGAAAATAAGAAGAATACAGAATATCAGACCAGACTTATTCAGTAATATTGTAATAATATGATCCATCTTATCCTAAACATACAAACCACTGTACAGTGGGACTCTTGTGCTCTTTGTAGACCTCTTGTGTTTGCTTCATTCACATGCACTACAGCCAAAATGTCATGCACCCTACTTAAAATTTTATTCATGTTGAAAAATCTCAGTAACAAACACAATTCCAGCTGATGAGCTCTGTGACAACGAAACAAACTACTGATTAATTCTAGCAGACTGCGGCACATCACAGCTGCAGGGGAATTCATCACAAACAATTATTTCACATTACACTGGCAGAAATGTTCTAAACAGACATTTATTTGTTTGGGAGTACATCTGCTTTGTTAGGTAACATGTGACCTGAGCCCACTGAGATGATGCCAACAGAATATGGAATAATGTACAGTCCAACATGCTGATGAGCAGAAGGTTGTATGAAAAAATCTCTTCAACTTTTTAAATTTATATTATTGTTTTATATTTTGAGAGAGAACACAGCGTCCCTGTCGTCCCCCACTGCAGGCCTTTGAATGTGAATGTAACATTGATGGATGCATAATCGAGCTCTGCCCACACATCCTCTACACCTGGAGGCTTTCATTTAAAAACACTGGGGCTCTGAGGAAACTGTTCTCGCACTGAAACTGAAACGATGCTCACTGCCTTTGACTACATGTGATTACATCTGATTCCCTGTCATGGGAAGCGGTGACTACTATTTGAAGCCTGGATGGTTTTAATGGCAGGGCAGATGACTCATTCACCATATTACATCAGTACAGCTCTCTGTGCATCTGGGCACAGATGCAGTGTTGATTCATGACAGGTGCAGCGAGTATTCTTGTGGTTTATGGGAGTTATGATAATGATACACTGGCAATATATTTATCTAGTGGACATGAACAAAATTCCCTGCAAGAGAAATAAAAGATGATGTAGAGGAGGTGCAGTCAATATGGATGAGAAGCTATGAAGCATAAATACAGTATGTATATCAGGAAAGAATAATGTTGATGTGTCTGTTTGTAGAACTGCCCATTAAATCAGCTGTTTGCTGTTGTTTTAAGGCTGTAAAGATCCCTGTGAGTCACGTGGACAGTTTGCAGATCATGCCAAATGTTTTCTGACCCTGGAACCAAATTGTTTTGACGACCTTTCCTTTAACACCACCATTAGGACAGAATTTCCACTTAACATAAGAAATATCAAAATCTAGTGGTTTAGTACCATGAAACAGTTTCGCATTTATGCTGCGCAGCTGATGAAAACTTAGTATATTAGACAGGTGTAATTGGTGTGAGTGGATGCCAACACACATATCCACTCTTAGAGGTGTAGATTTAGGTCAATTGTGGTTGATTTTTCTGATGTTGTATAGAGTCACTGTGAAACGGAGTTCCTTCCCCAGGATGCTCTCCGTACCTGAGGGCACCCACTGCCTATTTTTTGCAGCTCCATTTCTTCTTCTTATTAGCGGGGCTAGTGCTAAAGAGTACTTCTTAGCACAGGAAGAATTATCTTCACTTCCCACTGTGTCTAAACACAGTGGGAGCTTCCCGCTTCATAGTGACGTGTCCCGCTAGAACTCCGCCTATGTTTGCTCTGTCCTCTGCAACTCCCCCAATCAGTGCGCTGGCCCTACCGGCGAGTGCAGTGCAGATCACGCCCTGTTTGAAACCCCCATTAGAGAGGTTTAGTTGAAGGTGGTGTTCCTTCATCCATGCAGATATGTCAGAGAGGCAGGCCGAGATCTGCACAGGGACAGTGGGGTCGTCTGGAGGGAACGACAGGTATAGTTTGGTGTCTACATAGCAGTGATATGAGAAGCCATGTGAGTGGATAAATTGATCCAAGGAGGTGGTGTGTATTGCAAATAGGAGGGGTTCCAGTACTGACCCTTGGGGGACTCCTGTGGGGATGGGATGGGATAATGTTGTAGCTATTGTAGATTTGTTCTTGCCATAACACAATGAAGAAGTATCCAGTGAGATACGATTCAAACCAAGAAAGCACTTTGCCTGAGATGCCCGTGGCAGAGAGTACAGACAGCAGGATGCTGTGTACAGATGGTACATTAGCTGCTCTCTTGGTTCTAAAATACACCTCCTGATGCAACTTGGACACACCTTCAGTGATGAACCTGAGGTTAAAGGGTAACTAACAATGTACTTCCCAAATACTCCTTTGCTACTGCAGCAGAAAATGGCAGTGATAAGAGATCGAACCAAAACAGTAAAGTAATGGACTGTAAAACCAAAACAATGAGCTGAGAGATGTTAAAAAGCTGTCTGGATCTGAGGGGAATTGCAGAGTTGATGATCATTCTTTGTGGATTTGTCTCTTTCAGTGACACTTGTCACATTAAACACAGTCAGTTGATCTTTCATCATAAAAATATTGATCATAGCCTCTTTTAAAAGGTCCATATTGTATAAGGGTAGATGTCCATGTGTTTGATTATAAAGCGGGTCTAGGTTCTATATTAATACTGTGAAAGTAACAAAGCCTCAGTCCACAGAAAAATGCACACTGCCTGTATTCAGAAACTGAGCCTTTAAATCAGAACTTTCTGATGTCACAACAAAGCAGTCACCACTCTCAGCCACGTCCCAAGCCCCACCCACCTGGACCCAACATCCAACCATGCAGGATTTGGTTTCTCTGAGATGTAAAACTACACTCAGATGGTTTTTGGTTCTTACAACAACAAATATCTTTTTATGGATCAACACTTAAAATAAAACACAAGTATAAAATATGGAGCCTTAAGAAAAGGAAAATTGTCAGTTGTCATTTCGACTAAGACTTTAACATTATGGGATGGACTGAACACTACAGTGTTAGCATAGCTTTAATAGTATTTTACTGGAGATATTTTCATGGAGCTGCTTTTACTCTGTCAGACATGCAGCACATTGTTAAATGTAGATGTAGTGTGTGTGTGTGTGTGTGTGTGTGTGTGTGTGTGTGTGTGTGTGTGTGTGTGTGTGTGTGTGTGTGTGTGTTGTGTGACTAATACCAGCAGCCTCTGTCTGTGGTGCTGGGTTGAATTTCTCACACTCAGCTGTGGTAACACAATGACTCTGTTGCAACAAACAGCAAATAGTGTTTGCAGTCAGACACAGTTTTGTCAGTCAACAGGGAAACAGGAGAACAGGAACACACACACACACACACACACACACACACACACACACACACACACACACAGATCAAGTGGAACAGACTGTGATGAGACCTGCATATTAAAATGGTAATGGAGGTCTCTGTGTTTTCTCTTTGTGCTGCAACACTGCAGAAAGTATAATGACACACAGTATGAGCTTTACCGTAGAGTAGCTACATGTGACAGTGTGATACAATTAAGTTCTTTAATGTCGTCCTGTGTTTCATAGACAAAGCTCATGTCTGTTAGATAACAGGACTCACACCCAGGCAGGCTGATGCACTGAAGTGGCTGTAATGGATGAAAACACAAGTAGGCGGGCAGGCCGGCAGGCAGGCAGGCAGGCAGGCAGGCCGGCAGGCAGGCAGGCAGGCNATTTTGAGCGCACCTCAGCTCCTTTACACACATGCTTCTCTGTCAGTAGCTAATTTCTCTCCATCCTTGAGTTTCCTGATTTTTAGTTTTGTTGAAGCCTGAAATTCTCTGGCCTCCAGTCAGGCATGCAGGCAGGCAGGCAGGCAGGCAGACAGGCAGGCAGGCAGGCAGGCAGGCAGGCCGGCAGGCCGGCGGGCAGGCGGGCAGGGCAGGGCAGGGCAGGGCAGGCAGAATATGTTACAGAAATGCAGGTAGCATGCACACAAACAGATGAACCGACAAAGAGCTGGTGACAAAGGCAAGTTTATACTGACTCTAGGTAATGAACTATATGGGAACAGGTGTGTAAGGGGGTGGGGATGCTCAGGTGAGTGCAGGTAAGAAACAGGTGAGCAGGTGGGTAACGAGACAGGAAAAAAGACCAGCGACATTTGGCTCTGATTTCACCAAGCTGTGTCAGACTGGTCTGTAGTGTTGCTCCAGTCTTCATGTTGCTCACAGATCAGTCTGATGTTTGTCAGACTGTTTCACTCAAATAAAGACTGACTCATTTTAAGATAAAAACATTAGACACCTTACCCCCAGGCTAACTCAGGTCTAAAACCAATGTTACCATGGTAACATGGTAATCAGTGACACCTGCGCTGACCAGTAGCACCCAACAACAAGAAACAGGACCACATGGCATTATTATGGAGAGAGAGAAGAGAAAGAGTTTTTAGAGACCAAATAGTATTTTTCTTTTTATTGTTTCACTCTTCAAGTAAAAGGTCGGTCTTTTTTTCATATTGAAAAAACTCTTAATTTATCCAGAATTCATTGTACCACAGTCTGGATTAAGATAGTCAAGAACTAAACTGCTTTGTACAACAGATGAACTTAGACTCAGTCTATCTGAGGTCTGACTATCTGTTATATGTAAAGCCACAGTCACAGTCTGTCTTTGTGAAACCAGCCCCTGGTGGTCGGATGGTGTGGGGAGGTGAAGGGAGAAACACAGGAAGCGGGAAGTGAGCAGGGGCTGATGGGAAATGAGGATCAGACTGTGACAGTGTCCTTCTCTCTGTCTCTTCAGTTCCTCCCTCCATCGTGAAGCTGAAGGAGCCAGAACGCCGCCATGACACCTGCATAGAGTTTACTGTACGAGGTTCACCCCACCCAACCTTACGATGGTTCTACAAAGACAAGGTGCGTGTCATTCATATGTCAGTATCAACAGTATATTCACTCACAAGAGTGGAGTTTATAGTGTTTTAAAAATATGTGTAATTCTTAAACAAAACTAAAATAAGTTTGACTTTTACTGATTCAGATCAGTGTGAGTCAGCTTTCTTTGATACTGCCTGTATGTATCTGGGTTTAGGAGGCTGTTAAAACTATGTGCCATGTTTTCTGTGTGGTACTTTGAAAGATACAAATATTGGTTTCTATTGATTTGATACTGTCTGATAAGGGTTTCATCATGATGTCACTGTTCACTCGTCCCTCTTCTCTCACGCAGGAAATCTCCCACACCGAGTATGTACGTCCTGATATGGATATTTACCAGGACTACATAGAAGGCTGCTTGACCTTTAAAAACCCAACACACCACAACAACGGGAACTACACTTTAGAGGCCAGCAACTACCTGGGTCTAGCCACTAGCACTGTGTATGGCCATTTCCTCAACAAGCCATTTGATGGTAAGTTGGGACATTGAGGGTCATGATGAGGTCAGGTCAAAACAGCAACAGAACAGAAATAAAACCATCAATAAAATGTACCAGTCCTGGTGTGATTACTGCTCTCACCATCCTAACAACTGTTCACAGTATGGGTCTGTGTCTGACCTGTGCACAGGTGGCTGTATAACATAAAGTCACCGTGTAAAGTGACAGACATCCATGTTACAGTGTGCCTTCCCACATCCTGTCCAATCAGCTTTCACTTTTCACTTTGTCATTATGGGGTATTGAGTATGGACTTAAGTGAAGAGGTCTGAAGACTTTCTGAAATCTCTCCTGTAATATACACGGCTTTAAAAAGATACAACTAACTGAGTTTTTTTTCTGGTAGAAAAAAAATGCACAGTTAATATTCTCCTTAAAAGATGATTTAAAAACCTAAACGAATTACGCATTATACAAGGACTATCAAGGGGGTAATCTTTTTCTCCAGGGTGAAAGGAAACCCAGAATAGTGCAGGTGTGTGATTCAGTGAACTGAAAGCTATGAAATGAATGTATTGGAGTAGAAGGTATAATATTTCCCTCTGAAATGTAGGAGTGGAAGTGTAAAATAGCATGAAATGGAAATGCTTAAGTAAAGTACCCCAAAACTGTACTTAAATACAGTACTACTATTACTGCAGTACTGCTGTTACTGAGCCATTAACACACAAACTCCTGAATTCTTGAGTTAAAACAAAGGGACTGTCTATTATAGAAGCTAATATCAAAAAGGTAATGACTCACTAAACCACCACAGACACACAAAGACATAAAATAATAAACTCTATATTGATGTCATAACATATCTCTTACTTGACACAATCTAATTCAGTAACTCTGAAAATAAGTATATATATATATATATATATAAGTATAGTGTATTAAACAAGCTAGATAGTTAGCTACTGCTACTTACATTTACATACAGTGTCTGTGCGACACACGGGAAAGGAGCCACTCCTGGAGTGAGGCAGGCAGATGAGACGTCAATAAATGGCACAGTCCACTTTAGGGGTGTCTGAAATCGAATCACAAGATTCTTCCAGACATGAAAATGAGATGTATATTGTAATATTCACAATTGCAGAAGGATATATGTTTCAACCCCCCAAAACTGTTGCTTTTACCTCTTTCGGTGGGGTCCAAGTCTTAATCAGGAACCTAAGCCTGCTCACCAGTCTCCTGTCTACCCTCTGTGGTGGAGCAGTTTATAGTCTTGTAGCGTACATACGTGGCCTGGCATCAGTCACAAGCCCTTAAGGAAGTTCATTATAAGGACATGCAGAGTTACGGACCCGCAATTGACACTTTGCGACTCTTCCCACCATCAAACTATCACATTGATAGGAAACAGAGACAAAGGACCCTTCTCCTACAAACAGACCATGCTTTTAGCATGAACGACACAGAACCAGACCAAAGGTCAAAGGGTCAGCTCCAGAGGATCAACCAATGGACACCAGGCAACTGGAGAATATAGGCAAAATCTCCAGTTTGTAACAATAAGAACTCGTGTTCTAATGATATTTGATTGTTTCTTGTATAGGACAAGTAACAACAAAAGGACTGATTAACACTAAGGTGTGAATCCTGGCCTCTCTGTGCCAAGCATGAGCACACACACAGGCGCACACCAACACACAGCACACACCAACCTCTTCCTCTGCCCTCTCTAGATAAAGATCATAAAACTACAACCACATTCCAATCCTGGGTAGTGACCAGCAGAATCTCTTTCACAGACACAATGTCTGAGAGAGAATGTAAAATTAAATTATCTAGCTGTTCTGTAAACTCATGAGATGTTCTTATGCAATAGTTTTTAATCCCAAAACTTCTATCCCATAGAATGTTTGAAATGTAACATGTAGATTTTAAGACAATGTCCTTCCTGTGACCATACACTGTCAGCATCCTTCACAGCGAGGTAACACACACTGCGGCTAGGACATCTGCATGCCGCATTTAATGTTCATGAGATATTTTGATTGATTACAGTCACAAAGACGCCCTGCTGTGTAGATCCCACATTTATAGGACTAGTTAGCTCTTGGTTTTATATGGCTGTGTGTGTTGATCAGTTAACCACTGTGTTATCATGATTAATTCCAAGGATTTGCAAAGGGGAATAGTATGATGGAAAATCAACACGTTCCTATTACTCCTCTGTCTCGTGTTCCATTATTAGTTGCATAGTTTAGGGTTTTCTGTTGTATTTTACTTAATGGTTTTGTGGGTCTATGGGTGGATAGACGGATGTGCAAACTTATAAGTAGCTCTAGATGTTAAATTATTCCATAAGTCAGTGGAAAATTGTACTTCTTCTCCACTGCAGTAATCACAGGAAGAAGACGACGGTGATGCCCCTGAAAACATGCGCCAGCCCCCAGGAAGGATACAACAGTCCGTTGAACAAGTCACGAATGGTCAGAAAATCAGTTCAGAAACGGCCCACGAAGAGAACCGAAGAGAAAGAAAAGTCAGAAGAAACTCCAGAATGGAACAAGAAGATGCGAGAAGCGAAAACCGAATGCAGAAACTAGAAGCTGAGACTTTTGGCTCAAGCTCAGAGTCGGTCCGTGCTTCAAGCCGGCTCTGTAGCCATGGAAACTCTTATCTCTAAGCTGCTAGCCACAAACTCATGGCTCTTAGTCATTTTTGTCTACATGCACAATCTTTTATTTTTTATAAGCCAGTCAAGACCAACTGAAACCAAAGCAACAGAAGAGCCTCAGAGTAATTTTGTAACTTTTAATCATCAATCAAGTTTTCCTTTTTGAAGATTTTGACAACTTTAGAGTCATCTGGTCAACGCCAGTCTCCTCTAAAGTTATCCAGCCAAAGTGAAGAGCATTAGAGTTTATTTCGCATCAACCCGCAAGAGACACCAGCAGAGACACCTCTGCACGACCGCCTGCAGAGAAGCCGAGCAGAAATCAAGAGTGCCCGAGACAGAAAGTCTCCTGGCAAACTCCACCAGAGCTGAACCGCTGAGACACCGGCAGAATCCGTCATCGTGATAACGGGACACGGCCTCCAGGAGAATCCACCTAGATCTCGCGTCTCCGGGGTTACCACGGTAACCACAGCCACCTGGGTTCCAGCCGAGGGTCTTCAGCTACAGCACAGCTCACAGTAGGCCGGTCTTAACACTCTGCTCATGACTGGGTTGATGTCGAAATATAGCAATATTTAATCATAAAACCTAATTCGTAGGTGTAGTATCATTAGCTGTATAGCCATAGTGTATAGCCATAACATATTCTCTCCCTCCATTGCCAACTCATCACACTGCTCATTTCATTATTATTTTCATCTTTATGATTATTACACCTTGCATTTACTCTGTAGATAGCAGTTTAGTTAATAAACTCTTTTATTTACACCCAGTTGTTGCCCTGTCGTGTTCTTTTGACGTAGAGACTGGAGATCCATTGAAACGAGAAGTCATGGCTTCCGATATGAGATTGATAAATTTTGCAATGAAGTAACTCATTGTTGTCCTCCCTGAGGACTGGTGCCCCATTTCAACGAGAGTAAATTCTAAAATATGGCGTTAACGCTACAGTCTGGACAGAGGAGGTTCAGTGAAATGTGAATGTAACAGTTCTAATAAGCTCTGATAGCTTCCTCTGCACTGTCAGAACTGTTTGCGTTAGGTCAGTGGTGCAGATCCTCATGTCACAAGTCCATCAATGTTGAACTGAGTGAAAGATCTGCATGACTTTACTTTATCCATTAACACACAACTAAAAACATGTACTACAAGGAGAGCACGCGACTGCTGTCATCTCCTCTCAGCGCAGTCCTCCCAGGTATTAACCTCATTAGATGATTCTGTAGCGAACAAGTTCAAGTCAGTGTTCAGTGTTAGTGCTGGATGTGGTTATGTAGCCAGTTGGATAGTAACAGATGATCGCTTAACTAAGTGTTTTAGTTACTAACCCTGACCACACCTTAACCATAGAAATAACTGTTAATAAAGAAATTCATTGACTCTGACCTGGAGCTGCTCCGGTCCATCCCTGAGGGTGACACGGAGTCACGGTGCTCTGCTCCTACAGGAAGTCATGTCATCCTCTCATCAGCAGCCCCGGATGTTGATGGTGAACTGAAGCTTATATTTAGTCGGGGTGTAAATGAAGAGGCTGTATTTAGACAGGAGGTGATGATGTCGTTAACATCCCCTCCCGTCCTCTGTTTACAGTCTCACACCTGCTCTCTTCTCTTTCTCCTGTTCACTCAAACATGTTTGTAATCTACTGAACCTTGTCTATACGGTCTGTCTGACAGTATCTTCTCTGTGTTCTTCCACAGATCCAGAGTCAGACTATGATTACGGTACGTGTGCTTTCATTATATAATGATGATCTTGATTCTCAGGATTGTGAATAAGGAGTTAGCTCCTCATCATGATGATCATTATGTTAAAGGTTCACGCTGACTTAAATCTAATACGATTAGCTTGTGTTCACAGTGTCATATATTCTCATCAGAGAACATGACTGAAGACTAATGAGCTGACCTGTTGCTGAAGCAGCATTCAGTCAGATTGTGTTGTGGTAGGAGAGGAGGAGAACAGGAGTGACGAAAATATAACCCATGAATCAAACAATTCTCAGGACAATAAAACACATTTGGGCCTTCAGGCTTCTGTATTATGTACTGACTCCGCGAGTGTGTTAGAGAGAAGATTTTTTAGGAACCTGGTATTTTGTGTCTGTATATATATGGGGGAGATAATTCCAGTTCCTGTTCTTCTACCACATGGTACTGACTCAACTGTACTTGACTCAACTCACTTTTGGTACCAGGTGCTTCTTTTCCACTGCAGACAGCCACCCTTACTATATAGACTTTACTACAGTGGCCCTGCTGATAACACTGATCTTCTAATAGTTCAGCTCTAGTCTCATTAAAAACGTACTCCATGATCCTTACATGGATTATATTTATTTATTATCTATTGCTGGACATATCATTATTATTACTATTATTTCATGACTTTGAGCTCCATGTTGTGTGTGTTTGACCTTGTGTCTGCAGCTCAGTGTTATATCACTAATGTCAGTAGCTGTGTGGTTTATTGTGATGTCTGTGCCGTCTCCCTGCAGAAGCAGCAGGGCAGTCAATTGTTGTGATTTTAAAATCCTCTCTGTATCTCCTTGTGTTTTCCTTGCAGTTACTCCGACTGCAGAGACTCACAAACCTGAGGAAGACACTTTTGGGGTAGGTGACTGGAATATTAAACACGTTTAGTGTTTGTCTCGTGTTTCTTCCATTTTCCCCAGACACATAGGTAGAGAAACAGAGATCAAACACTAAAGCTTGTAATTACAACAGAGTATTAGGGCCAGATTGAAGAAAAAAATAAATAAATCTGATATTTCGAGAATCAAAAATTTTAAATGTCAAGAGAAAAAAAAACATAATTTTTAGGAATATTACATCAACCAATGAAACAGGTGAAAGGACAGTCAGTGTCAGTGTCAGCCTGCTTCTGGCAGCTGCTGTTTGTCTAACAATAGAATAGACTAGAATAGAGTTTCTTCACAGTCTTTTCAGCGTCCTGATGCTGCTGCTGCTGATGATGATGATAATGATGATGATGATGAAACCTAAAGTACAACTTTACACGATGCTCCACATTCCTCATTTTAAAGCTTCTGATATTTCCCCTCTAAAACAACATGATACCTAAAATGATCACTTTGTTATCATTATATTTTGACTTTTTTCTCAAAATTTCAGATTTCTTTCCCGTCGTACATAATATAGCCAGGGCTGAACAGCTAAACTAACGAAAAATTTCTGAGCTCAGTTTTCTAAACAAAATTGTGACTGTGATTTTGTGTTGGTAATCTAGATTGTATGAAATAGGTGACATTTGAGCCAGGAGTAATCATACAGTTTCCTTGTGTCTACATGAGAAGAAATGATGATTGTTGTTGAGGGTTTGTCAGGGTTGTGTTTTAAACAAAAGTGTCAGTAAACCTGTTTTAGCTAGAACCAGTTTAGATCAATATTATATTATATTGTTCAGTTTTTAAGTTGACAGTTGACATCTTTTCAAACATCAAAATTTAAGTTGTGCTTGTTTCTGGAGGAGCTCATCTCACTGAGCAGAGCTTCAGTCCTTCACTTCAATCAGTAACCCATGATGAACTCAGTACGCTGACAGAGTGGAGATGCTTTGTGGAGTCCTACAACCTGACCAGTCAGAAGCTAATTTTAACCTCAGACTGTTTTGTGAGTACGACCCCTGGTACAGACTTCAGAGGTTTAGTATGTTCACCTTATCATCATCCACATGATGTTTTTATATAATACAGACATATGATGAGTGAAATAATCATCAACACCATGACTGAGTGTTTCCACCTTGAACTGCAGTGAGCCAATGACAGTCTCATAAAAACAGATTCAGACAGCCAGGGTTTCATACGTCACAAACCTAAGGAACCAATCCTGTCAACCTGTGGTGACGGGGGGCGGGGCTAAATAAACCTGAAACCTTGTCAGTACACAGAGAGAGAGTTAGCATTAGCACAGCCACTAACACTGTGTTAGCCACTGCCAGTTACAAGCTAACAAACAACATAAACAAATAAAAGATGCTAACTGCGCTAACCGTTCTGATCCGTCTGCTAGTCTCTGGTTCTGGTCTCAGACTCCTCATCTGAGTCTGGGTCTGACTGAGGCTCAAACATGTGGCTGAGTCTCTCTGATGTTTCCTCCTCTAACCATCTTGATACTCTCTGCTCTTTCACCTGTCCACCAGGAAGTAAGTTTCAGAACCAGTTTGGGATTTTTTTTCCCTCACTTTTTTAGTGAGAAAACCATGTCAAACTAAATATGAATCATAGCAGAGGATTACGAGAGTTTAAAACATTTCTGGAGAAAAACTATAATATGTGGTTCAACCAGTTTACATGACAATGTCAACGAGCCACAGTTAAATATACCAGTGACAGTTGTCACTTTATTCAACAAACAAAGTCACAAACAAAACTTTCTCACAGCTGTTTATGACAGTTAAAATTTATACTCCTTTAAATTCTAATGTTGAAACAAATTAATAATAACTGTACAACTGATTACAACCCTCACTCTGTGTGTGTGTGTGTGTGTGTGTGTGTGTGTGTCCTTGCTGCAAGACACAGTATAAGAATATTGTAGTAGTTGTAATAATGATAATACATCTTCCTCTTGCTAAGTAAGTAGTTTTACACTCAACATGTCCTCCAACCTAAACAACACAACAGGTCGTTTGTCCCTAACCTTGGATATGACCCATAAGAGCAGCAGGTGTACATGACCTTCATTGTCACGGTAACAACAATAAACAGTTATGGTAAAGACACAGTCACAGATTTAATCACAAAAATGTCTTGGTTGTCAGGTCAGGTAAAAATAAGTACTTCCTTTTGGTTAGAGGACCCTTGTCGTCATAGTAACAACAGTAAACACACAGTTGAGGTTGTGGAGCATTCATGGATAAAACAGACAACAATATTGGCTTGAAACCAAACTCTCTACAGCTGCTACAGGACAGGACAGTCACATTAGTTAAAATTATTATTATTGAAACAGTTTTAATGGAAGAATTAAGTTGATCTGTCTGTCTGTCTGTCTGTCTGTCTGTCTGTCTGTCTGTCTGTCTGTAAACTCTGAGAGAATCCATCAACCTAATGAGTGTTATATTAAAGTACCAGTGATCTGCAAAGGGAGAAAGAAGAAGAAATGTAACAAAGGAGAAGAAAAAAGTTTAGTTGAAACTGAGGGTGCTATTTTAATCCAGCCTTTTCTTCTCCTCTGTTCACTCTCAGCCATTTTCCTCTATCTGAAACACCCTGGTGGTTACTGAGCCTGAGAGCTGGTTAGAAATGTAATTGAGTCCATCTTTTTTCTGTAATTGACTGGGAACAGATAACCGTCAAAGCTGAGGCTGGCTAAGTGTATGTGTGTGTGCTCTTTTGTCTTCCACGTATTTCTTAGTTGAAGCTTTGTCTATGGGGGGCCATGAGGGACATGATTCAGAATCACCAAAAAGCTTTAACACACAACTGAAAAGGTGTCCCCATACACATACTAGTAAAATGTGCTGAAATGCTCCCTGATAATATTGTTTTTGGGCAAGAGTATTTCAGTTAACATCAAGTGGAGGCCCTCTGTGACATCACACATTGGTTTGTGAACTGATGTTTTGTTGCCATGAGTTTTACATTTTGGATGTCACCCTCTTTGTCTTTTGGAGCCAGAAGAAACAATATTAGAAGATGTTGTTGTTTGATGTTTGTTAGCTTGTAACTGGCAGTGGCTGACACAGTGTTAATGTTTGTGCTAATGCTAACTCTCTCTCTCTGTACTGACAAGGTTTCAGGTTTATTTAGTCCCGCCCCCCGCCCCCACAAGTTGACAGGATTGGTTCCTTAGGTTTGTGACATATGAAACCCTGGCTGTCTGAATCTGTGTTTATGAGACTGTCATTGGTTCACTGCAGTTCAAGGTGGAAACACTCAGTCATGGTGTTGATGATTATTTCTCTCATCATATGTCTGTATTATATAAAAATCATATGGATGTTAACGAGGTTAAACACTTGACTTTCATCAGAGGGTCTTTAACACACTGTTATGATATGAAAGAAAGTCATGTTGGACAGAACCAACAACATACTTAGAATTCTCAGCAGTGGCAGGGCCTCAAAATGTAAGGTTTGTTGTGTGGTTCTAGAGGAAAGGAAGGTCATAGATTAATTAGTAAATCAAGTACATCAATCCCCTGAGGAGCATAAATGTGCAAATGTAAAACTTTTCTGCCCATAAGTTTCAACATTTCTTAAGTACATGAGGCATTAAAAAAGTCTCTTAAATGGATGTATTTATTCAGGAACCCCTTCCCCCCCCCCCCCCCACACACACACACACACACACACACACACACACACACACACACATGAAACAGTATAGAATCTGCTCAACAGTTCCCTCCCCCTCTTATAAACTAAACTGCAATGAGGACAAGGTCATAGTTGGTGTTTTCCTACTGGAATTTGTGATTCCAGTAGGAACAATTTACAATTAGAATGACACTCAGTGGAGTGCATACCTCCACCACCAGGTCTGGATTATTATCTGGATCTGGGTCTACAACAAACTGTGCCAATTCATAGATCTCAACCCCATGAATATGTCTGATTTTTTACATCAAGATCCAAACATTATCTCTGGAGACATTAACAAAAATGCAGAGAAATGGCTTATTTCACAATGATAGGGAAAGTGATTTAAAAAAAATTCCTGGCTCTGCCCTTTTAATTGAATCAGCACTAAAATTTTATATATCCATGATCCATCCCTCCTCCAAGTTTGGTGCAAATTGGTTCAATAGTTTTTGTGTAAACCTGCTGACAAACAAACAAACAAAAACAGAAACATACACAGGCATATACAGGTGCTGAAAGCAGCGGTGAATGGGGCCTTGCACTTTGAGCCTGTGGAGGCAGCCGTGGTGTTAACGTAAGTTGTATGACATGGCTCTGAATTTTTATGATCAGTGGATACAGAACTAATTAATCAAATATCCCTTATTGTGTTGTGTATGTACTGTTTCAAAGCAAAACATCAAAATTCGCCACACTGCCACCACAGACATGCTGTTCAATGAAAACTCTCAATTTTCACAACAAAGCATTATCAAAGTCTGAAGCATTTTCTGACCAAGTTGGAGATAGTTGTGGTCAACTCACTTGGAGGAGCACATCAAATTTAAAACATGACCTTAAAACATTTCCTGTTGTCATTAGGTGGCCTCATGATTATAACTAGATATTGACATGTAGATGTCTTCAGACCAGCTGTCTTATCAAATCAGTGAACTTTGGGGCAGATTGGACAACGTGTATTTGAGTACGACAACTTCCTTTTTCATGATGAAACTTACAGTTCAGCATGTTGACGGTCATTACACTTCACTGACCAAGTTGATCTGGTTAAATCTTTAGGATGAGTTTGTTAAGGACCAAAGCCAAAATCCAAAATGGCTGACTTCCTGTCTGCTGAAACTTTTGAAAAGAATATTTAGTTTGTCCAGAATGATAAGAGCAATGATCCCACTAAATTTCAGGAATATCCAAGCAACTTTATCCCAACATAGCCCTGCGTTTGGGGGGCACTATGAAGCCCGCTGGCCATGCTGAAACATGATTGGGTAGGAATCATGTTTCTGTGAAAATGCAGAGGCCAGATGAATAAAACTCAGATTCATGACTAAAACTATGTGTACGCACAAAACCAGAAATATTCACACCCATTCTTTTCATCAGAATTATGAAGCCGTGCCTTCGCATGGTTCTGCTTTAGAAATCTCACTCATTGAGAAACTGGGCGCATGTGCAAGAGCGTCATTTCCAAAAAGCACTGTCTGTGCCGCAAGTGATCAGACACAGAGAAGAAAGACGAGAAAGAAGAATATCTGAGGTCACAGCATGCATCAGTTTACTGTGGTACAGTCACTCTAATGTAAAGTCCTGTTTCACTGTGGACTTCATGTATTGGGACTAGAGTCTTAATGAGGCTCCACAGGCTCAAACACAATTTCTGTTTGTGAAATGTAAAATTGTTCTTGCTGTGTAAACTTATAATGATGATAATGAACGAAGCTCCGTGCAGTTGTTTATTTTATTTTATGTTAAATCACGTTTCTTGTCCTATTTTGTATTTTCACTGTGACCTGGATCACTTTGGAGAACTGTGTGTTAACATGGTCAAAGGAATGTGTGAGGTGACACAGTCTGTGTTTATAAAGAAGGCCCCTGTTCTCACAACCAAAGGTGCAAAGGTGCGATGCCCCTGGTGCTCACACCCTAATTATAATTTCAACAAAATCAACAGTTGCTAGGGACCGTTGGTGCTTGAGCCCTAAGATCTCAGACTCTGACTCAGTACGATCTTCACTCTGGACAGTCTGTCGTCTAAAGTTACAACAACCCTTATGAAATTATAAATTATGTAAATCCCATTTCATTGATCATGAAATATTTCATATTCAAATTTACAATTTGACCTGTGCATGACATTGTTGCCAGAAGAAAAAGCAGGGCATCACTAAACATTATGTTTCTTCTGAGGACCACAAATATTCACAGAACCAGGAAGTTTGGTGGGAATATCTTACTCTGGACCACAGGGATCCAAACCAGCCAACATAACTAACACTAAAGCCTGCTGAGGTCCCTGCTTCTTTAATCCTGAAAGTGGTTGTCACTTACTTCATGTTATATAAGCACAGAAGCTGAGCAACTGTGATGCTTTGCCTGATTCCAGGTCTCCATAGCAGTGTGCCTGGCAGGGTTTGCCTGTGTGATGCTGGTGGTTCTCTTCCTTCTCATCAACAAGTATGGACGACGCTCTAAGTTTGGCATGAAAGGTAAGAAACCAGTAAATCTAAAAAGATCTGAAATATCAGAGACTCACGAGAGCTTTCATTTCTGTGTACCTTTGTGTTTTGTCTAGTGTTTTTTACAGTATCAGAGTCAGAACAGCATCAAGTTCTGCCTGTTCTTTTGTGGAGTGTCCATGGGTGTTTTTTTTTGTTTGTTTGTTTTGTTTTGCTATGAATTGTCTTATTTTTACTGCCTGCACATTCTTAGACATGCTCTGCATCATGTGCCTGTCCAGAATTACACACAGAGACACCTGACATAGGGTATCTTCCTTGCACATGATATACTTCCTCTTGATTGAAATGACTCAAATAGTTCACACTAGTATTTGGTTTATCTCACTCCATTAACTTCCACTATACACTATTCTACAATAATAGTATGTTTAAATGCTGTACATTTCCTTAACCATGCTGTAATGATGAGTGCTGCTCACAGGGAAAACATACAGTATTATCATTATAGATACTGTAGGTCTGTCTGCAGTTTCTCCTCAACCATCAGCTCTGAACCCCCTTCAACTGAATTTACCTTTTTCTGTCTTTTTTCTGTCTCTACAATAACCTTGGACCAACATTTACTTGCTTGAGCTCAGAATAATCCAGTGTGGCAGCAAAGCCTCTGAATCAGACACCGATTGGCTGTGATGGCACCACAGGAGCCAATAAGAGTGTCCGATTCAGAAACGTGACTCTAGACGTCACCAACAAAGATGGCAGATGAGAATCAATCCATATACATACAGCAAAAAGCAATGAGCCAGGACCATAGACTGTAAATAAAGATGGACGTAGCCTCTGTGACGTCACCCACAAGTTTCTGAAGAGTGGTGTTAAAGTTCAGAGTGAGCTGCTCAACCCTCACCATCTTGGCAGTGTCTGACTCCGCCCCTAACTCCCATCTAATCCAAAAATGTCACTCAAAGAGGCCACACAGTCAATTCTTCATAACTCTAAGCCATAATAAAATGTAAGCAGGTGAGTTATATAAACAGTTGTCATGAAGAAGGAAATTAGCTTTACAGACCAAAATTGTTTTTGTACCATAAACATGTTTATTTCTGTTGTAAAGTTGGACATTTTAACATGGGAGTCTATGGGGATTGACTCAGTGTTGGAGCCAGACTCTAGTGGTCATTAGAGGAACTGCAGGTTTTGGTTCTTCAGTGTTGGCTAAATTTTTCAGCCCTGGAGTTTGATGCTTGGTGCAGACACAGAACAGAACTAATGTTGGGTAGAATGAGGCCTTGTTTAGACCAATGTTAGCTCAGCCCCCTCAGTCACAGAGTGCTGAAACAGAGGGTTCCACCAAAACTGTTTTTGTACCAGGCTGTAAACATCTTTATTCCTGCTGTAAAGTTGGACATTTTAACATGGGAGTCTATGGGGATTGACTAACTGTTAGAGGCAGAATAGTGGTCATTACAGGAACCGCGGGTTTTGGTACTACAGTTTTTAATTCAATTTTCAGCATTGGAGGTTGATGCTTGGCAGTGAAACAGGTGAAACTGTCCATATCTTTTCCAACTTTATGAATCAGTGTAAGGACAGTGGGCCACAGGACAAAGAGGGGCTTGTTGTGAAGCACTGATTCTCTAGTTTAGCAGAAAATTTTTTGTCTGTCCCTGAAACCTTTGAGGAGTAACTATGCTCTGACAACATGATATTTGTGAGCTTTTACACTCCTGTGGGCTTCAGAGAGTTAATCAGGCTCAGAGTGACTTGAATGAAGCTTAAAGGTGAGACTGGAGCTGTCATGCGTAGACAAGTGGTCTGAATGGACAGAGGGGTAATGTCAGGAAGAGAAGGTTACAGGATATTTAAGAGATATAAAGACATAATGAAGGGAGGGAGTGGCTGAGGATCAGAGGATGGGCAGAGATGTTTTCAGTCAGGAAAATACCAGACTGTTCTGCTTTCACTGGTTGTTGCTCTACCACAGAAATAGGCCCACAATGAATTACAGTAGAGAAAAGAATATTATCTGACCTACAGCTTAGTGATTACATGTTCCTGACCAGGAGCAGCCATTTGTGACTCTTCCCTGTCTACAACAACATTGTGAGAGAGCTGTAGACTCTCTCAGCAAGGAGGTTGAGGTGGAAGATTTTACTGGCAGTAGGTCACTGGTCATGTGACTAATTTCTGGTACAGTCACTTTAAAAAATTCAGACTCTGCTGCATCAAGTCTGACAAAGCAACTAGCCACTTGTGTCCACAGTAAATCTGATAGACCTCTGGACAAATTGTAACCCAAAGAACACTGTTCTGCTGGCCAGGTGGAGGGGGCCCTCCCCTCCTCCTCTCTGGATCAAGACAACACACCCTGTGATAACCAGTGTGAGCAATCCCAGAAGTAGTTATCATTTTTTGCTTGGATCTGGACTAATAGACCACACACCTGCCAAAATAGAGAGGTTACAAGTTTGTTAAGCACAAGTACTCTACCTCTGTAAGAACCTGAGGGAGCAGCAGTTTCTTTTTAGTTAATGATGATGGATGACTTGCTCCATATCTTCTCTCAGCCCAGCCCAACGTCCCAGAAGGCTTTATCAAACTCAAGAGGCCATCGATGCCGGCTTCCTTGCATGCTCTGCATGAAGTTCCTGCATCTGCAGACTCCTGTCCAACTGAGACCTGAGGCAGTTCACCGCAGAACCTCTGGAACAGTGTATCATCCGCCTCGTTCTCTAGTGCAGAGAAAGGAGTGAAACTCAGGAGCTCATCTTCTTATTTATCCAGGTTCTGTTTAGTCTTGCCCTGTGTTTTCTCCAGGGCAAAGAAAAATCATCTCTGTGATGTTCTGGACTGGTTCTTACCAGCTCTCCCTGTACTTTGGTGTCCAGCAGGTTGGCTAAGGCCATTTTGTTAGATTTGAGGATTTCAATGTATCCTCAATTTCCCATGGACTCACTCATTGTTTCTTGTCCCTCAACATCAGTCTCCTGATCTTTTATAGATCTGAAGACGTCCTTAAATGGTCTCAGCAGTGCCTAAGACAAGTAATATCACTCTTCCTCTGTCTGAAAGCTGTCCATAAATAACTAAGATAAAACTGAATAAAATGCCACTATTAATGCACATTTAAAAAATATTACAATGTTTTTTAAAACAGTAAAAGTAATCAAGTTTGGAGGGACCATGTGTACTGTCTGGCCTCTGCATGCGTCCTTCCAAGGCCAAGATATCCTGACCGTTAGTCCCTAGTGTGAGTCAAGCTTCAAAAACAGAGCATCATACACTTCCCATACTGCAACTTTATGGCAACTTTTTATTTGACCCTGCCTTCCAGGTAAACACAGATTACAGTTCACAGCACCACCTGCTGGTAGCAGGAAGAAGTGTAGTTTTAGTGGTACTGAGTAAGTTAGAAATGAATATGACTCTGGCTAAACAGATCTAAACATTCTCACTTGTTGCTGTTATTTATTATTCCACGGTTTAAACTCAGTGTCTGACAAAATCATTTTAAAGTCGCTGTTAGCTGGACCGGTCTCTGTGTGGGGCCACACCTTCACTCACAGTGTCGAGACACAACAACACACACGTCCACAGTCTTTGTAATGAAAGCAGATGGTACAAATATGATGCCAGCTGGTTCTGACTGTCTGTTTCCCTGCCTCTATTTGATTGGCTGTTTGCCAGATACTGTTGTGGTAATTTGCTGGTCGTTGTCGGAAGTTAGTGTCATTTAAAGAAGAGGGCAGCTTTGGTCACCATGACAGAGGTGGATTATCAACACTGTCTACTGATGAAAAACTGAAGGTTAAACTCCTCTGTGCCACCACGTGAGGGACACTGCTCGGCACTTTTTACGCCCCCTCACTGATGACAACTGTGTCAGACATTATATTTTCTGGTTGTAGGATAACTCTGAGCAGAACTCAAGAGACAGATGTGTCTGGGGTGATTCCAGACGATCCCCAAAGATTCACCGCCCAACGTAAACGCAGAGGACTTGGGTTATTGGGCTTCCACCAGGTACCAAACTACACCTGGTTTTTACATCAAAAGACATGGAAGCCAAAACAAGAGCAGATTAAGGCCACAACTGCAGAATATTTTCATTTTTAAATGGCTTTTTAAAATAAAGTGAAAGGTCTCCATCCAGGCAATTGTTTTAGCTCCGTATCAGAAACGATAGTGTGAGCCATTATAACACCACTAAGAGACCAATATACCCAGTCCCTAATTAGTGACGGACCTTTCTTTTTTTGTACTGTTATGTTTCATAGCAGATTTTATAATGTGAAAACCAAAGTGAAATATAAAATTATAGAAGTAATTTAATAATAATATCATAAATATGAACAGGTAATCTGATGCTTCAAAATATACTTTAATGTCTTGTTAGCTCTGTGTTAAAAGCTTTTCACTTGGACTTGGACACACACACACACACAAACACACACACACACACAAACACCATATCAACCATCTGTTGATTACCTCCATCTGTTCATTCAGTGGCCTAACAGCTCATAGCCAACCCACATTACTGCCTGTAGGGTGTGTGTGCACTCTCAGACACTCCCACAATGACATTTGACTCGCGGCACACACACAGATGAAGTTGGTTGATATGGAGAACTGATGCTTTTTAAAGAAGATGGAGCCAAGCTAAAATCTGGTGATTCCATTAAGTCTCCATAAATTCTGCACTTCATACTCTCTGCTCTTCTGCTGCAGGAGAAAATTACATCTCTGTTTTCTCCTCAGAAGGAAAATTGTCAACTTAATCTGAAATCTGCTTTTAGATCCAGCAGTCTTTAATGTCCAGAGAGGATGGAGAGATGTCTATCTATCTGTCCGCCAGTGTCCATCTCTCTGTCTCTTTGAAGCTTGGAGAGCATCTGTCCCCCGAACACATCAGGCTCTGCTGGTGTATATGCATTTACACTCAACAGTTAAAAACGGAAGAAGCAAGAACTTGAATGCTGAGGATTTATAGTATATGACAATTTACCACACATTTACAGTACTTG